ATTACAGTGAATCTCCACGTTTTGAGACTTTCTGAATTTTAAAAAAAATTTTATCCGACGATAATTTGAACAAATTTTAATGAATCGACTTCAAAGAACCCCGCACTAAATACACAGAAAATGGCTTACGGTTAAATTCGGCTATATTTTTTGAGAATTTTTAGTTAAAAGTGTCTTAATTAAAAAAAAAAATTGTCCGGAGGTCACTGAATTAATTTTTTTTAATAATAGTTTTTTATACACTAAGAAAAATATGCTATTGAATCAATAGCATTTCTGCGAAAGGTATAAAAATGATTAATTCAAAAGCATATGCTATAGAATCTATAAAATATTTTACAAATTTTATAGCATATGCTTTTGAATCAATAATTTTTATACCTTTGGCAGAAATGCTATTGATTCAATAGCATATTTTTCTTAGTGTAATATTTGATGAAACAAAGACTTTCGAACAAGTGATTTACTCAAGTTAATTAGACGCAGCGTTGTTTGGAAATTTTTTTAGCTAAACAATTTATTCAGTGACCTCCGGACAATTTTTTTTTTCCATCAGGATACTTTCAACTAAAAATTCTCAAAATATATAGACAAATTTAACCGTAAGCCATTTTCTGTTTATTTAGTGCGGGGTCCTTTGGTATACGCTTTAAGTATATAGAAATTTCGTCTGATTTCATTGGCCAGATAATATCGTCAAAAAACAACAAAATTTTGGATTTTTAAAAATTTCAAAAATTTTACACTTTTTGATTTGATATCAAAATTATACAATACAATTTTTACGTTTAGTTGTAGATTTTTTAAATTAAACATGGTAGTTGAAAAGTAGTCAAATCTACTAGCTTTTCTATATTGAGTCCCTATAAAAGATAAATGGAGAGTGTAGCACGATGTGAGAACAATGCCCGCGAAGCATGCACCAATATCGGACAGCGAAGCGCGTATTGTCGTCGAATTTTTTTTCGTTACACTTTCCACGATTTAGAAAAAAAATTAATAATAATTTAACATAAAATGATGTAAGGAATAAAAATAATACTAATTAGATGAGTCAGAAAAATGACATATATATATATATGTAGGAGCAATAAAAGGAGGAGCTTGACGAGGAAACAGAAAATTACCGATTTAGTATCCGGAAGTTGATTTGGATCAACAGAATATAACACGGGACGAAATTTGTCCAGGACAATTTTTACACACATGCTCTCTCAACATTATGTAAGATTGCTCGTGTTAGTTACACAACACATTCATCTATCAGGGCTGCCATTTAATCGTTTCCGCTGAGCTCCGGTCTTTATCGAATTATGCTTTGTTCTTCTGTCGACCTTTTCAACTTCTGAGACAATTGACAGAGAAGCTAGGCGATGAGGCTAAGAACAGCTCTATGCAACAATGTTTCATATATATATATATATATATATGTATATATGAATGAAAAATGTTCACGTTCAATATATGGACGATTCTCCAAAAAATTCTCCATTTTTCAGGGAGAACCTTTTTTTATTTTTAAAGTTAATGGGAAATTCGTTTTCTTTTATCAATTTCTATTTCTTAGATTTAAATATATTATTATTTAGAACTAATTACAAATTAAATACGAACGCAGATCAGTTCGGATTAGTCTGGAAATTATATATACGAAAATATTCCGAAAATTATCCGCGTATTAGTCAGTAATCAGTACGGATGAAAAAACAAATTTGAGATCAATCTAGAATTCTGGAATTGACATGAAATCAATTTGCAAACACACTAATTTAAAAGTATCAAATTAATACCAATAATATCAAATTAATACAAATTTTTATATCAATTTGATACTTTTAAATTAGTGCGTGAATTAGTCCACAAAAATTGGAATTTAGTTCGATCAGAAAACTTAATTCGAAATCCAAGTATAGTAATCCTTAGATTTAGTAGCAAGAAACTGAATCCGAAATGAGTCGGAAAAAATTTAGAATTGTACAAAATCTGCACAAAAAATTTTAATCAGAAAGTAGTCTGAAATAATCGGAAATCTGACGAATCCGGATTTAATAAAGACGCATATAAACAATGTCTTAAATTAATTTGTTAGAAAATTTTTAATTGATAAAATTTCATTAGATATAATTTTCTTTTAGCCAAATTTATATTTGTTCGAATTAATTTTTGACAGAATAAATTACAAAAATGATTTTCTATATATTACAGAATTTTTACATTACCTAACATTTACTTGACAGAATTTCTATTTTTTCGAATTTTTATACACTGAAAAAAATGTTTAGTCAGGGCAACCAAAATTTGGTTGGGCCAACAAAAAAATTTTGTTGGTATTTAAGCAACTATTTGTTTGAGTCAACCAAAAAATTAGATTGAGTGTTTTTTTGTTGGCATAACAAAAATGTTTGATTAGCTCAACCAAATTTTTTTTGTTAGGTCAACAAAAATGTTTGGTTGATGAAATCAACAGTTTTTTTTGTAAAATTAAAAATTTTATTCTACCTTATCTCTTTTCTTTTTATCTTTTTTATTTATTTAATTATTTATTTATTATCAATTTAACATTGAATTTATATTTATCCAATTGAAATATTTGTGGACTTTGAAAAATCTCATCTCCGCCTGGGATTGAACCTCTGTTTTAAAACTGAAGGTCCGGATCTCTGACCACTGGACTACCTACCCATCCTTGTGAGAGATTTAAACTAACTGTTCTCTTAAGCTATGAGCTAAGAGTCGCAACCAAATTTTGGTTAGGACAACAAACGATCATTTGGTTTCTTAGACCAACCTATTTTGTTGTGTTAACCAAATTATTTTGTTGTCGTAACTAAATTTTAGTTGGAATTTAAAAATGTTCAACCAAATAATTTTGTTGGCCTAACCAAATCTTTGGTTGAGATAACCCTACGACTTTGTTTCAACCAACCAAAATTTGGTTACAAGAACCAAAATTGCCTAACCAAACAATTTTGTTGCAAATAACACAAAATTTCTTTTTCTCAGTGTATTTTTGTCAAAATTTTTATTTGTTCAAATTTTCGTGTAACATAGAGATTTAAAAAATTTTCACTAGGCAGAATATAAATGGCTATTCTGTTAAACGAAAATTAGAAGAAAAAAAACATTAGTTTTGCGGATCTAAAATGTCGGACATAACTTTTTTTAAATTTATCAGATTTACTTGAAAACTGTTACACGGGGTGTTTTTGGAGGTTGCTGATTACGAATCTGTCATTAGTTTTGCGAAATTCAAAATGACGGATCCAAAATGGTGGACATAATTTTTTTAAATTTATCGGATTTGACTAAATTTTGGTACTCAGGGATTTTTGGAATCGTTGATTGCTAACCTAACCTCAACATTGAAAAAGACTGATTAATCACCGCGACCCCAAAAACCCCCGAGTAACAGTTTTCAAGCAAATCTGATATAAATTAAAAAAAATTATTTCCGTCATTATGAATTTCGCAAAACTAATGTCATATTCGTGATCAGCGACCCCCAAAAACCCTTTTATACTAAGTTTCATAAAAATTCGTTGAACTGATTTTGCTGTGCATTTTTGGTCGCATTCATGCTGTATTTTCCTCAAATATAGTGAAGGGGTTAAACAATAATAAACAATAAAAATTTTATAAATAATTTTTTTTAATGTCATTCTTTGAACCTTTGAGAAGAGAAACAAAAATATTCAGTCGAAAAATAATTGATTTTTAACGATTTTATATAGCAAATTTACGAAAGAGAATTTTTTTCCCCATTTAAAATACATAATATGGAAAGATTCAAGGACATTGAGACACTATTAAATATATTTATTAAAATCAAAATACAAAACAACGTATTTTTTTTCATATAGAACAAAATTTTGGCCGGGAATGATAAAAATTCGAAAAAATTTTGAAAAATAAGGACCACCATATAATGCCGTATTGTTGCGATGAGGAATTTAAAAACAAAAATTGTACAAAAAAAATGAATTGTTAGAAATTAAAAATTTCCAATTTACTTTTTTAAAATACAAACCTTCTTACCGGGTTTTTTTTTTTTTTTGAAAAATAAATTTTCTCTCAAATTTTGAAAATTAGTTCCTTTATGTATATCCATTAACTGTTTGCATTAAGTTTATTTTCACTGTGAGTAATAATTTTTCAATTGTCTTAAATTGTTATTGTCATTTAATGATTTAATATCATACTATTTTCCTAATAATATAATAAAATTTTCTTGACATTGTGACTTATATAATAGAACGTAATTATACCTATATTTTTTTTTTTAAATCTTATTAAGACAAGAGATAATTTTCGTCTGAATGTCAGAATCATTTTGTGCTTTCATTTCGTTGTCCTTGATATAGACGCAAAATATTACATATATTCATTATTAAAAAATGATATAACAATAATTATAGTCTAATATACTATTTTTATCGAATGAATATTGTTTTCAAATTATAATTTTGTATAACTTTCTATCTATGGCAGTGAAATTTTTTTTTTTTGCCAGTGTTAATCACGTTAATTTGATTGTTGCAAATAACAATTAAATAAATAGATCAAGTGCATGACTTGCACGGTCATGCGTATCCGACTAAAATACTTTGAAGAGTTTTTTGTTCTCATAAATAATAAATATTTAATTTTTAATTTATTAACGTAATCCAAAAAACATTATTTTTAGGTTATGTTACCTAAATATTTTTACAATAAATCGAGGGGGAATTTACTAGTTAAAAACATGTACACTTGACTACCGGTATTACACCTCATATTACTCTTATTACTAAGTTATTACACGTTATTACAGAGTATTACACATTATTACAGAGATATTACAGATTTTTTTGCGTTATTACAGCACCGTAATAAAGCATTATTACACGGTATTACACGTTATTACACAAGTATTACAGGAAGAGTGTACACTTGACTACCTGAGTAAATTCCCCCTCGCAATAAATATATATAATAATGAAGCACATATATCTTTCTTTCAGGTGAAATGGCAGTTGTGTATCTTTTTATGAGATACCGATTCAATTGGGACGAAGTGAAGTTCAGTATGTTTTCAACTTACAGCATGGTGACTAATCTCATTGGTAAAAAATAATTTCAATTTAAATATTCAATTTCTAAAATGACAAACTATAAATTAAAATATTGTCTATTTTAAAGAACAATGAATAAAAAAAAGTTTGTAAAAAAAACAACAACTAATTACACAGCCCCACAAAAAAAAAAAGTGTCATGTACTTTTGACCGGAATACCCTAACCCTATGTATTTTGACGCGCTGAACACGAATCCGAAGTCCGTTTTGCTCCATCACGTCAGCATTTTTTTCTAACCTCAAAAAACATGTCGGATTTTGAGAAGTAGGCGATTTTTTTAAAAATTGATGTATTAACTTCAAACTTGGTATCTGGGGGTTTTTTGTGTCGCTGATTACGAATCTGAAGTTAGATTTTCAAAATCCATAGTGGCGGATCCAATATGGCGGACGAATTTTGAAAAAATTTTAGGATTTACTTCAAACTTGGTATCTAGGGGTTTTTTGGGTCGCTGATTACGAATCTGATGTCAGATTTCCGAAATTCGATATGTCTGATTCAATATTAAGGAATTATTTTTAAAAAATTGTCAGATTATTATGAAATTTGGTATCTACAGGTTTTCTAAGTTACTGACAAGTAACACTAGGGAAGTGCCATACGCCGATTTTTCTGAAACTTGGCAGTTTTGTAGTTTTTTGAAAACAATTTGACACGTATGTTTTGTTTTTCCCCAAAAGCTGATTTACGGGGGGGAAATACCCCTTGAATTTTTTTTTGGTAGGGGGACATTATTTTACGAAATTTTTCAAAAATTAATGTGCAATAGTGTATCTGGGGGTTTTTTGGGTCGCTGATTACGAATCTGATGTCAGATTTCAAAAATTCAAAATGGCATATCCAACATGGACTTCTATCGGCCACATTAGATACGCCATTATCAATTTTTGAAAACTGACATCAGATTCGTAATCAGCGACCCAAAAAACCCCTAGATACCAAGTTTGAAGTAAATCTTAAAATTTTTTCAAAATTCGTCCGCCATATTGGATCCGCCACTTTGGATTTTGAAAATCTAACTTCAGATTCGTAATCAGCGACACAAAAAACCCTCAGATACCAAGTTTGAAGTTAATACATCAATTTTTAAAAAAATCGCCTACTTCTCAAAATCCGACATGTTTTTTGAGGTTAGAAAAAAATGCTGACGTGATGGAGCAAAACGGACTTCGGATTCGTGTTCAGCGCGTCAAAATACATAGGGTTAGGGTATTCCGGTCAAAAGTACATGACACTTTTTTTTTTTGTGGAGCTGTGTTATTCATTTTAGTTTCTCAAAGTTATAATATTTTTAGCCATGTTTCTTGTTTTGAAAACGTGTATAATCATAAACATTTTTTTTGCATTTTTTAATTTCACTTTTTAATTTACAAAGAAATATTATTATTATTATTATTATTATGTTAATTGTCATTTTTTATTTACTTATTGAAAAATTATTTATTATAATAATTATTCATTATTCAATACTTGTTACGTTAGTAATTTTAAATAATTATTAACTTACAACGTTTAAGAAATCATTTTTTGAAAAGAAAATTTTTATGAATTTTTGCCTCAAAGATATTTCTTCCAATATTTATAATAATTAAAGTTAAATATAAAATAAAAAAATTAAAACTGGTTGCAAAATGAAATTTCAGTGTGTATTAAAATATTTTAAATTAAATTAAAAATTTTTTTTTCAACATAATTATATTTTATGTATATTTCAGATAGATAATAAATAAAATTATGATTATATTTAATACAAAAAACTGTTGTACAATACATTGTGACACGTTTTTTTTTAAAAAAAAAAGATTAAAAAAAATTCCTAAGAAATAATTTAAATATCATTTTGCAGGTACTGCAATATCAGTAGGTCTCTTTAGTCACGTTTTAAAAATGGATGACGCTATTGTGGGAATTCTTAGCTGCATGAGTAAAATTTTGTCAAGCTTTGTATACGCCTTTGCAACAACAAATACGATGATTTATCTTGGTTAGTTTTTTTTTGATAAAGTTTTCAAAAAAAAAAAGGAAAAATTATAATTATAGCTCTTCTACTAATATATATGAAGTGATCTTAAAGAAGAGCCCAGATAGCACCAAACTTTACAGGAATAGTTAACAGAAAGTTTAAAGGCGATAAGTTTGGAAGTTAACGTTGTTAACTTCCCAAAAGTTTTAAATGTCCTCAATGTTTAAGTTAACACTGTTAAGGGGCCGTCCATATACCACGTGGACACTTTAGGGGGGGAGGGGGGGTCAAAAATCTGTAAAAAAAAATTGTCTACGTGGTATATGGGCGGCTCCTAATTTGTTGAAAATTAGAAAAATAAATTTTCTGAAAGTTTTCCTTTATAAATTTATACAAAATTTTTCTAGTAAACTTTAAAATCTTTTTTCATGCACAGATTTTTTCTATGGCAGCTAAGATGAGTTGCGTAATACATTTTTAATTACATTTTCCCTACAGAAACGGTATGGATGTAATAAAATACATATATCTGTAAAAAAAAATTTATTTTAATTTTAAATTTATCAGAAAAAACTTCTTGCAAAATTTATGCAAACTTGAGCTAAAAAAAAATTTGGCAAATTTAGCTTTATAAATTCCAACAAGTTAACAGTGTGTTAACTTAAACTCTGAGGACATTTAAAACTTCTGGGAAGTTAACTTCCGAATTTATGGCCGTTAACTTCGCTATACTATCTGGGAGATCTCTAAGAAGCAAAAAATTATAGGTTATGTTTATGATAGTTTAGAGTGTAAATAGAGAAAGTAAATTATGATGTTTAAATCTTTATTACATCCAAAATATTTAATAAAAACTGATTTTAAAATTTTATTTTTAATTAAAAAAAAAAAAAAAAAACATGAATAAAAAGGAACTTTTAATCAAGGTAAAACTATCACTGAACATAACCTTAAATTTGTTGCCTTTATAAAGTCAATTTTTTCGTGGATTTTTGAGTTGACAAAAATAATTTTTGATAATAAATTTTTTTTTCTTTAATTTTTAGGACCTCTTGTCGAAATTGTCAATGGAACTTCGTTTATAGCAATGCGATCAATTATGTCGAAATTAGTGCCAAATGATGAATTAGGTAAACTATCAATCATACCTATATTTATGTGCGCGTTAATTTACTGCAATTACACTACCGATCAAAATTGAGAGACCACTTGCAAAAGTGGCATTAAAAATATGACCTTCTTTAAAAGTTGATAACTTTGTTTTAATATATTAACTTAGAAAGTTTTTTAAAGCATATTTAGAAAGATTATAAAATTTATCGTTAAATGATTTTATACACTGAAAAAAAAAAAATTATTTGATTCATATAATCGGTTACTTGACTATTATCAAATAAATATATTTATTTGTATCAAATAAATATATTTATTTGTATCAAATAATTATATTATTTGAGATGGTATTTTGTTTCAAATACAAAAATTATTGGTGCAAATAAAAATTATTTAGTTCAAGTAAAAATTATTTGGTTCAAGTAAATATTTATTTGACAATATAGTCAAGTAATCGTGTATTTGAATCAAATAAATTTTTTTCTCAGTGTACCCAAGTTTTTTTTTTCGATAAATTGATGATGTAATAAAATCGTTCTTATGAAATTTTACATATTTAGTGGAACACAAATTCTGAAAATTATTTATAATTATTTTTTAACATAAATTATATATAATTTTTTTTTATATAGGTAAAGTGAATTCTTTGTTTGGCGTTTGTGAATGTTTAATGCCACTTGTTTATGGACCAATGTACAGTTTTATTTATCGATCAACAATGGAAACATTTCCGGGAGCATTTTTCATACTCGGTGGAATTCTCACTACACCTGCCGTTTTTGCCTTTTTGTAAGTGTATTTAATTTATTTTTATTTTCAATAATTTTGTTCAAACTATTTAAAAACTTCAATTTTAATGATTTAGTGAAAAAATTTTTTTAAATAAAAATTTATCACTAAAGAATTATTTAAAACGTACATATGACTGAAGGTATTTTTATAGTCACGTTTTTTAAAAAATTTTTTTTTTTTTTGTAATAAAACTTGAAGTAAAAAATTTAATAAACAAATTTTTTGTTTATTTGAACGTTCAGAATATTCAGCGAAAATGTAACATAAATCATTCTAATATACCTAAAAACTGTATTTGCAATATTTTCTGGTAATTTTTTTTTTCTTTTTTTTTTCATTAAATTTGCATAACACTAATATATTTAGTAATAAGAATATTACGCTATTCGCATAAATTCTTATCACATCTTTAAGATGAAAAAAAATAGGATGTCAGCAGTAAATTAAAAAGCATTTAAATTTGGCCATAACAATGAAATTGTATGTGTACAACATAATTGGTGACTGATTTTTATGCTTCGATAATTTGAAAATATTAAAATCTTCATTATAAAAATAATAACCGCACTTTTTTTTAAGTAACTCTGTTAGGAAAAGAAGCATTAAAAACTTTTTTTTTACACACAAAATTGTTAACCACTATTTTCAGATTTATTATCAAAATATATTTTTAATATTTCTTTAAATATATATATATATATATTTATTAACATTAAAGAAACTGCGAATACTTTAAAAATAGAATTAAAAAAAAAATTGTCTTAAAAAACAAATTTTAATTAAAAGAAAGATCCTACAGAAGATAAAATAAATTATGAGGAATGAGATAACAATAATTCTTAAAGTTAGAAACTCGAAAAAAATATTGTTATAAACATAAAAAATTGAGTAACGCAAAATTATTTAATTTTTGAAATATATTATATTTTTATTTAATTTGACAAAAAATTGAACAAATTACTATACAGTCAATAAAATAATAAATTTTTAATATTATTTGTAGATGGCTTTATAGAGAACACAGAAGGGATAAAATTAATTTGGAAAAAAAGGAAGCAGCTGAGAAAAAAGATAAGGGCGACAATAATTTGGAAAATAATTTATCATTGACGAAAATTTTAACTGAAAGTGAAAAATCAGGAATTGAAAATGCAGCATTTGAATCAGAAAAGCTGTGATTTTATTTTAAATTCAACTCTTTATGTAACGATGACTAAATGAACGATATACATAAACACGGAAAGAACTGTTTTCCGTAATAAAATAATCTGTTTGCTGTAGTGAACTGCGAAGGTCATCATCAAATCCAAATTTCATTCCTAAGAAATTTCGGAAATTACACGAATTCAAATTATTATCATCATCATCATCATTATTATCATATTTCTTCATTTCTCGAAATAAAAGATATATATATATATATATATATATATATATATATATATAATTGCTAAAATTATAAGAGGGAAATTTAAAAACTACAAAAAATATACAATGCAGTTTTATTAAAAAATAAGTTAAAATTATTGACTTGAATTTAAAAAATAAATAAATTCAATTTGAAAAATCAGAAAATAAAATTAAATTTTGATATATAATTTATATAATATAATGTTTAAATCAATTCAAATCTAAGTTAATGAAAACGCATATGGCTCATTTCATTTAAATTATATCATATTCGTGTCCCTTGCCAAAAAAAATTATTTGATATAATCTTAGTTGAAATTAATTTGTTTATATAGTAAAAAGCAATAATTTTTCTACTTACAAGGACATAAAAGTGATTTTCATAATATTGGCTGAACAAAAAGCAGGCAAAATGTCATAAGTGTAATGCGTCCCCCAGAGACATTTTCAATGTTCAAATGAATGAAATGTCGAAAATATAGTGTTTAAACCAGATTAAAAAAAAGGTTTCGTGAAGTATTAGTTCTATATTTAAGGAAAATCGCAAGTGTTGGTAATTAAACTTTATTTTATACAATTTACAGAAAATGAAAATGACGTGTCCCTCACTTTTGTATTTTTACATTTTGCCGGCAGAATTTCCTACTTTTACCTGCTATTTAAATTATGTACCTTATGAGCAAAAAAATTTCTTTACCATCGCATAAGCAGCAAAACACAACGAAGTGTGTGAAAAAAACGAATACTAAAATTTTGGAAAATTTTCAACAGCCTTTTCTTGAAAACAAGATGGTAAAATGCTTTTTCCTTAATGGATAATTGATTATTAGCAAGATATACACCAGCTAAAACTTTTTTTGAGTTAAAATAATAAAAAAAATTTCATGTCAATAAATTAAATATGAGCACTTTTTTCACAAAAACTGTAACAGTACTTTCTCAGAAATTACAATCAAAAATGCAATTTCCATTTGGAAAATTAATAAATGCTAAAAAATACACGACCTAAGATTTACCAATCACGAAAATAACAAAAAAAATTTTATTAAATATTTAACATATTGATACTGCTTTACTGATTGTGACAGCCCTTTGGTAGATTATGTATTTCAGGTGGTTAGCAACAGCGCCAATCTCCTCCTTTCGGCAAAACTGCGAAACGTCTGGTGCCATATATAACCTGCCAAACGGCTGTCATAATGAGTAAAATATGTTATGTTAAAATACTTTTTTTTTTGTTATTTTCGTGATTGGTAAATTTTAGGTCGTTCATTTTTTAGCGTTTATTAATTTTCCAAATGGAAATTGCATTTTTGATTGTAATTTCTGAGAAAGTACTGTTACAGTTTTTGTGAAAAAAGTGCTCATATTTAATTTATTGACATGAAATTTTTTTTATTATTTTAACTCAAAAAAAGTTTTAGCTGGTGTATATCTTGCCAATAATCAATTATCCATAAAGGAAAAAGCATTTTACCTTCTTGTTTTCAAGAAAAGGCTGTTGAAAATTTTCCAAAATTTTAGTTTCAATGTAGATGGCGCTGCCTCACTTGGACCTGGCCTTAAATATAAATCTGCTCGTTTTTGTCATGGAGGCAGAAAAAGCCGAAACACTTTCGTAATTGAATTTCTGTCAACAGTGTAACGCCTTGAAAATGGTTAGAAAATATTTTGAATTTTATATCAGTATGGAATTTTTAATGTATTTTTGGATTCTCTTTCGAATGAGAACAACCCCGTCGATATATAAGTATAACCGTTTTCATTTTATAAGCAAAAAACGAGCAAAATGTCAACAGTGTAATGGTCATAAGTGTAATGCAAATTTGTATATATATATGGCTAAATAATCCGCCATATTGGATCCACCATTTTAAATTTTGAAAATCTGACGTCATATTCGTAATTAGCGACCCAAAAAACTCCTAAGTGACGAGGTTCAAGCGAATCGAATCAACTTTTAAATTTTCATGGTCGCCATTTTAGGTCCGCCATTTTGAATATTTTAAATTTGATTTCAAATTCGGATTCAGCGACCCCAAAAACCTTAGTATACTTATCACACCAGTCAAATCAAATTATATTTAGTATTATTATTTTATCAAAAATTGACAGAAAAACACTTTTTATAAGATATGACGATTTCTGCCAAAAAAAAAACCGTCTGCCATAAGAAATATATGACTTTAATTTTGTGACCACTATTTATTTTGTTAATTTAACATATGTTAAACTATGTATAAAAAAATTAGTTTCAACCTTAAAATCAAAAATTTTCCAACTCAACTTTTCTGGAAGCTGAATATGACAATTTAAATGAAAGGAGCCATAATATACATTTTGTTTAATTAGTTTTAAAATTTATAGATTTAATTTTTACGTAAATAAATAATGTAAAAACATTGCTTTAAATAAGAAGACTGGCTTCTAAAATAATACTCTGCAATAATGAAAAATGTGCCGCAAAACACATTTAAAAAGTGATTATTGTAAATTTTTTAACGAAGCCTACGCGATTTTTTTTTCCAGAAACAAATAAATGACTATATAATATATACAATATTGTCAACGTTTATATATTAAAACTTTGAAATCTTTGTTAAAAGTAAAATAAAAATATTTTAATTTATGTATATATACATATAGAAAATAGTGTGAAGCCCAGTACTTAAGTTACCGTTAATGATAATAATAATAATTAGTTATAAATAATATAAAAATGGCCTTTAGGTCAACAATTACAGTATTACTGTACATGACTTTACAATTGTGTATTAAAAAATTTTATTATGAGGCATTCTATCTCCAATCGTTTCATCTTCAAAAGATGATCGCCAGCAGAACGTTTTTTAATTTAATTTTTTTTTTATATAAAAAAAGGAATAATTTATATAATGTTGCACACTATTTCAAAAAGAGAATTTAATGATCTTTCGATTGGTCTTAACATTTTTTGTAATTTCTCACAATTTCATAAAAAAAATTCTGTTTTGAAATATTAAATTCTTGATATTATGGACATCTTTGAGGATTTTTGGTTAACATATAAATTCAAAATCTGTGTTTTTGAAAAATTTGACACTAAGCATAAAGTTGAATACAGCCTTCATCATCAGAGACGAATTTCATTGTTTTGAAACAAATAATAATAACCTAAAAGTTTCTTCCGATAATAATCATATTTAATTTTAAACAAAATAAATTTAAAGAATAATTTGAAAATTAATAATATTAATTATTATTATTAATAATAATAATAATAATAATAATAATAATTTTGAGATATCAATTGTTTAATATCTCAAAACAGAATTTCTTTATGAAATTGTGAGAAATTACAAAAAAAAAAATTGAAACCAATCGAAAGATCATTATATTCTCTTTCAAAAGAGCGTGTAACATTATATAAATTATTCCTTTTTTATATAAAAAAAATTAAGTTAAAAAACTCTCTGCTAGCGATCGTCTCTTGAAGATGGAACGGTTTGAAATAGAATGGATCTTTATTTTTAGGTATAGATATAATTTTTAATGATATTGTATAAAGTATTAAATTTACTTGTGATATAGAGTTAGAATTATATTTAAAATATCATTCTAGCATTTTACAGTATATCAATAAATGTTTAATAAGCGTAAAATAATAATTTTGCTTTGAAACCTATTCATTTTTTTTTATTTGAAATAGTTATTTTCGTATCAAGGGCGCAAAATAGGTGATTGTGGCGAAGGCGAGATTAGAGAAACCAAGGGGACCCGAAGCGCCCGAGGCGAAGCCGAGGGTGCGTAGGGTCGCCGAGGTTTCTTCATAATCTCGACTGAGACACTATCACCTTTTGCGCCCGTGCTGCGAACAACATTTTTTGTCCTGTCTGCATGGAAAGTGTATTATTGAGTGCATGCAAGTCCGCTTGTTTTAATGTTCCATCAGGGTTGGGAAGATAATATACTTAAGGTAAATTACATGTAGTTGTTTACACAGAAAAAACTTGGACTCATTTTTGTTGCAACTCATTTTCTTTTGGGTATCGAAATGAGTATGGGACAAACTTCATGTTATTCAAAATGATATTGGCTGGAATTTCAGATTTCTAAGTTGGCATCATAAGCAGAGTAATTTTGTATTTCAATTATTGTTTCTAATATTTCAACAACACCAGAAAGATTATTTTGACCAGTACGAATATTTAGAAGTTTTTAAATAAAAATTATTTATTATTATTTACGTAGATAATAATTAATTTCATAAGTTTTTAAATTTACCGCTATTATTTAAGTTGGCAGTACCGTTCCTGTTGTCAAAACACATGTTTTCATTTTTCTAACCTAAAAACATATTTCCTTTATTATTTTATTACGCGATTACAAGCAATTTTTAATCAAATATATTAAGTCTAGCGTGTTATTTACTTCTTTGTAATTATTATATTTCATGTTTTTGTGTAAAATTATTCGTTATTTCACAATATTTTTCCATTTTTCTTTTTCTCAAAATGAAACTTGCCTGTTTCATTTTGATACTTTTACCTTAGAACTCGAAATGAAACAACCAGTTTCATTTTTGTTGCGAATCAAATTGAGTATAGAATCTATACTCAATTTGAATTCAGGTTTTTTCTGTGTACGTATATTACGTATGTTTATTATGTCACAAAAAATGAAAACAATACATTTTTTAATGGTGCGGGCGCGAATGTATTTTGCGCCCGCTTCTATGACGTCAGCGGGCGCGAATGTACTTTGCGCCCGCATCTATGACGTCAGCGGGCGCGAATGTACTTTGCGCCCGCTCACCCCATCTCTGGGCGGGAATCACTTACTTTGCGACCGCCTCAAGTGCACGAAATAACACACTTTCCGTGCAGGTAGGACAAAAAAAAATTTATTTAATTCAAATAATGGATTACTTGAATATTATCAAACAAATATTTATTTATATTAAATATAAATATCATTTATCCCAAATAAATGGTATTTGTTTCGAATACATAAATTATTTGTACATATACAATTTATTTAATTCAAAAATTATTTGGTTCAAGTAAATATTTATTGATTAAAATTTTAAGTAACGTTTACTATAATAATTTTTTGGGATGTATATATATGAATTTCCCATAGAAATCATTAGTTATAATTTTTATATTATATATTATTTATTTATTTTATTTATTTATTTAGAATACATATATATTATATTATATATTATTTTTTTATATTATATATTATTTATTTATTTAAAAAAAAACGCATCGATTTTAGTGAAAATAGCAAATTTATGTTTAATTATAGAAAATCAAGGTCAAAATTCAAAAATTTTTAAAAATGAAATTCACCATTGGAAAGAGCATGAAAAAACCTTCAAAAAACATACCTGCCAAATTTTTTTTTATTGCATTTATAGACAGAAAAAAAATTCAAATAATATGTCAAAAATTTTTTTGGGGATATTTTACTATCAGGTATAGGACAACAATTTCCCCAAGTTTCATTTTTTTTCGCGAAATCAATTTTTTAACTCAGGACATTACACGTAAAATGCCTCATATTTGTTATTAGATATTTTGTAAATAATTTTTTTTTAAATTCTTTAAAAAATCAAGATTATTTTTAAAATAAATTTTAAATTCTCTTTTTAAAAACATTTTCAAGTCTGATTTATGAAAGTACATAAATTTTTGGCAAATGGTTAAAAAAAATTTTTCAGTTAAAACAGTGGTTGAAAAATTTTCGAGTACAATAAGCAATATGAAGAAAGTTTAGAGTTTAGAGAAATTTTCAAGATTTGAACTGACAAAAATTTTTAAAAAATGTCGAATGCAAAATCACAAATTTCCAAAATTTAATTTCTATTGTCGGTATAGAACTGAATAGAATAATTAATTTTTTCTATAAATTAATTAATAGCAGTTAATGTAAATAGTGATTAATAAAGAGACAAAACAAGAAAATTATTTAATAATAATAAGTGCAATAATAAATGAAAGGAAATGAGAATAAATAAACTAAATCCTCATTTTAAAGGTAAGACAAAATTATTTATTCACGAATATTAATTGATTAATAATAAAAATAACCACAACTTTTTTACAATGCCCATGTATATGTTAAATAAATAAATATATTAAAAAAAGTATAAGGCCTTAAATTAATTTTCTTTTTATACCTTTTATTAACTAAAAAATAAATCAGTTGTAATAATTTTTTACTTTCCAAATTGGAATTAACAAAGTATCATAGGTTTCCAGGAATAAGTGTACCAATAAGCGTATAAGCGCTAAAAATTCAAGGAAATTTAATCGTTAATTTAATGAAATTTCACTAATTAACCACTATGTACGCAAATTAAAATAACTAGTATATTTATCGCTTTTCAAATTTTAAAGAGTGGGATAATAAAATTGGTGTTGAAGCTGAAGAAAAAGAAGTAGAAGTGAAAAATCATGAAGCAGTTGGTGTAGAAGTAGCATACACAAAAAATTTAATATTTTATAAAAATATATTATATTGTAAAAATAAAATATATAAAATAATAATATATAAATAAATTAATAAAAATATTTTATTATACTACTCTTTAAAATTTGAAAAGCGATAAATATACTAGTTATTTTAATTTGCGTACATAGTGGTTAATTAGTGAAATTTCATTAAATTAACGATTAAATTTCCTTGAATTTTTAGCGCATATACGCTTTTTGAAATTAGTGGTATCCCTGGAAACCTATGATACTTTGTTAATTCCAATTTGGAAAGTAAAAAATTATTACAACTGATTTAGTTTTTAGTTAATAAAAGGTATAAAAAAATATAAGTCTTCGAAAATAAAAATAAAGCTCTTGATGTCAAGAGAAAGTTGAACCCTATACTGAAAATCCCTGTATAAGATCTTGTACAATTTCCTGTACAGGATCAGCAACTGAACTTGTACAAGTTTTGACCAGTTTCTGTACAGGAAGCAAAAAATTTAATCAATTTATATCAATCATGGCCGAATTGAATCGACTCAAAATTAAACGAATTTTTTTCAGACATTTTGGAAATAGTACAATTGCGGAGACCATTTCACTATTTAATTTGAAAATGAAAATAACAGAAAATCAAAGACAATGTGCAATTCGATAATTAAAAAGTGACAGCTTATAAACATAACCTAAAATACATGAGAAAAAATTTGTCGATAAAATCAATATAGCCGAGCTTTTTAGAAGGTAGATGGCAGCACTAATCTATTTTCTTTCTTTAAATTTTTTCTGAATCGTTTTTATAAAAAGTGAAACTCTCACTTGCTAAACGGAAATATTGGTCAAAAAGATGTATTATGTTATCAAAAAAAGTAATATTGTAATCAATAATATTGGTTTAAATCAGAAATTAATTATTTTCAACAATATTTTTAATAAAATAATTCATTATTTTTTGCATTATTTTTAATGAAAAATTAATTTTTTCACAAATATTTTTGATCAAATAATAAATATTTTTTTAAATCAAAAATATTGGTGAAAAAAATTAATTTTTAACTGAAACATTAATGAAAAATATTTATTATTTGATCAAAAATATTTGTAAAAAAATTAATTTTTCATTAAAAATATTGCAATAAATAATTAATTATTTTATTAAAAATATTGTTGAAAATAATTAATTTCTGATTTAAACCAATATTATTGATTACAATATTATTTTTTTTGATAACATAATACATCTTTTTGACCAATATTTCCGTTTAGCAAGTAAGAGTTTTGCTTTTTATAAAAACGATTCAGAAAAAATTTAAAGAAAGAAAAAAGATGAGTGCTGCCATCTATCTTCTAAAAAGCTCGGCTATATTGATTTTATCGACAAATTTTTTCTCATGCATTTTAGGTTATGTTTATAAGCTGTCACTTTTTAATTATCGAATTGCACATAATAACAAATTTGATCTTTGAATAAACATATATATATATATATATATATATATATATATATATATATATATATATATGATTCGATTATAAAAATACAAAATGCTATTTAGATAACTTTTTTCCAAAAAATTAGTAAACGAGAAACTACATTACATTCTATTTATTACCGTTATCAGTGAACGGTATTGTCAAATCGTCGATAAAATCAATATCTACTCTCATTATCAGTTTACCAAACACATTTACCAATCACCAGTGTTTTGTCGGGAAACATAAATTCACGTGAAATTCTACAGATGGAGCTGAATTCAATGAATGTCACGTCACTCGGTCACTGGTAGTCATACTGTTACTATATATATACATATATATAGAAATAAAATAAAGTGGTGTGATGTGACGAAAATCAGATCGATTGAACTTTGCGCGTATACATAGTTTATACACACAAGGAAACCACGCTGCTTTTTCGTTTAAAGATAAGGCGACAGTCGTTGCCCGCTCGTAGTGTTTGATGAATATCCGCGTAATCAGTTTACCGGTGTGTTACTTTCATTTGACAATTATAGACTTTGAACAGTATTTCATCACACAAAGTTCATTCATTCGACAAAGACTAGGTGTGTAAAGTGTTCAAAAAAGTGAGATACTTTTTTTACGTGTATTAAAACTTTATGTACAAGTGGACATTCTGTACAGCAAGAGTCGCTAATAAATCAAGGTAAATGAAACCGCATAAATGGCATAGATCTTAAGGTCATGTGACTATGTACGCATGCAAAATAGTCATTGCACATAGAAGAAATATTATTTTCTTTTTTTTATAAGATAAACAACGATATAAAAAGAACCGGTATTAAAAAGCGCGCCTTTTTTTCATTTTTCACATATTATACATTCAATTCAAATTTGATTTTCTTAGAATGTCATTAAATTTTTTTTTTTTTCAGTAAGCACTTATTAAATAATTATGAATTTTGTGTTTGCAATAAAAAATACAGAAAAACGGGGACAAAATTCACTATAAAATACTATGTGTAAATTTGAATCACTGGAAATTTCACTGTATATTTCAATGAAATTCGATTTTTATATTTCTCAGTAAACTGATCTATTTTTTTACTCGACAATAAGTTGAAAAGAATTCAATTTTATTTTCTTTTAGATCTAAATTTTTTATCATATTTATTATTTCACGATAAATAAAATTTTATATAATCTTTTTTTTTTTTAATTTTCTTAATTTGTAATTATTATTTTATTTTTAAAATTATTCTAATTATCAATGAAATTTCACTGAGAGAAATAATGGAATTTTTCACTGACTTAGGTGATTAACAAGTGAAAAAAAAAAATACTCTCTAATTTTTGCATCAAGGTGCAATATTTCACATTCTTTTCTTACAGTGACGATATCAAAAATTAAGAAATTATCGCATCGATGTTATTATTAGAATCATAAAAAAAAACTTAATTATTTTTTCATTCTTGAGAAATAAAAAAATAAATTATAAATCTAATGATTTTTAAATTAATTTTGTTAATTGCTTGTTGATTTTACTATTTATTGTAGAAAAAAAGAAAATGTATATTCTTAACTTTATAATTTTTCTGTTCCACGCCAATTTAAGGACATGTGACAAATAAGTCACGTGATATAACTAAAATATTCTTCCAAGATTTTTCTCGTATTTTTCTCAAAATATATGTATATATGATATGAATTATAATTGCAAACTAAAATTTTGTAAACAAATTAAAAATAAATAATTCCTTCTATAAATACGCGGAAGATTATTTACGTGATCTATAACATTCACATGTCCTTAAATTATATAAATGACAATTTATATAATTTAAATTAGCAAATTGGTTAAAGGGTTTTGTTTACAATCGTCGCGGTTATTTTTGCATATTGTAAACAAATTTATAGACAAATGCATCAAATCGTCATTGCGATTAATATATAAAAATCTATTTTAAAACAAGAAAATATTTATTCAAACAAATAATTTCTTTTTTTTCATTTTGCTTTCATTTACATATAATATTAAATGCATGTGACATCAATCAATTTACTGTAATAAATTTTCAATGGTTTAAATTTTAAAAATCATTCATATTATAACATCGATTTAATTTTTTTTAATACTTTTTAAAAATTTTTTTATAAAAAAAATTATTTTAAACATTTTTTAATTTGAAAAATTCGATTTTTCTGTATATTTTTATTTATTTAAAAAAATTTTGTTATACATTAAAAAAATGTTTCACAATTTTTAGAAAATTTTTTTTTTTTTTTTAAATTATAAATCTTTGAATGCTCAAAAACAATGGATTTTTCATTCATTAAATTTGCAATTCAAAGTGTGAGTTTTTAATATTTTTATTTTTATATAATTGCAAATTTCTCCATTTTTTAAAAACAAGAATTCATAATTATTAATATCCTGAAGTCCATTACAAAAAAAAAGAAAATAAACCATAATAATTTTTTTAAAATATTTTTATTTTTGTAAATAAAAATAAATTCTTTTTCAAAACGAATTATATTTAGAGTTTTGTTTTTAGTATAAAATAAAATAAAATTCAATTAATTAATATGTAAAATAAATAAATCATATATATATATATATATATATATATATATATATATATATTAAAATGAATAATTAAAAAAAAATTATTTTACATCAATTATGGTAATTTTGTGAATTTTTAATTATTTTGCATTATCAATATATAATTCTGATAAATGAAAATACAATTGAATGATTATTCTTAAGGGCATATGACACATTGATGACGTCACAGTGGTGAAGATAAATTAAAAATGCTCTTTATAATCTAAACATAACTTGTTTTAATTATTTTAAAACTATATCAAAGTTTGTGAATTTATAATGTTTGAAAAATATAATATTATATATGTTACAAATGTCGTACGCAAATTTACTTTAACGGAATTTTCCCCGCAAAAATAAAATAAAATTTATAGCAAAATATCTAAAATTAATTTTTAAAATAATTGTGTTTCTGGAAAGTTTCTTTTATTCAATTTATATGTTTATAAATTGAATAAAAGAAACTATATAAACGTTGAATGTGCAAAAAAAAAAAAGTTCGTTATAGACTTTTAATGCAATTATCCAAATGACGTAAATTGAGACTACTTCTACGTAATTTCATTGACAATAATAAATTCCTTCTTTAGACACACACGCTAAATCAATGTGGTTAGACATCAAAAGGAATCTTAAGAATTGTTTTCAAAAAAAAAAAAAGAAGGAAGTAAAACCGGTTGTCTATAGCTTCGCTTAACTCCAAAATGAAACTATTTTAGGTCATTTCTATTCTTTTCTCCCGCATAATAATTTCTTTTATGAATACATTTCTCTCTTTAGAGAATTTAAAACTAGTTCATTTCTCGCGATAATTTTTTATTGCAAATTTCTTAGCCAAATCATATAAAAAGAAAATGGAAAAATTAAAACACAATTATTTTTTTTTCAAATACCTATACTTCTTAAATGAATAAAAAATTATCAAAAATCTATTTTATTGAAGGCAGTTCAATAATGCTTTGACATAACCTTAAACTATAAAAATAAGTTTTATCACCAATTATAAAATTATATCCGTCAACCGGGGTAATTATACCTATTTAAAAACTTTATTTTTTAAAATTCAAAATGTCATTTAAATTCAAAATTTAGGGAAAAAAAAATTTTTTTTTTTTAACTATTTCATTATGTTGTGGACGACTACAAAATATTTTTTCATAAATATTTGTGAATATATCTTAACATGTTGTGAATTTTAAAAATTATTTATCTAATTAAAATTTTTTATTTTATCTAATTCAAATATTTTAAGATAAAATTTTTATTCATTACCCAGACAGCACGTAAGCTTTCAGCAAGCTTTAAATGTCCCATCTAACCCAAGCTTGCATGGTAAGCTTGCCGAAAGATTGCATTGTAAGGTTACTACAAGATTACAAAGTAAGATTATCGCAAGATTGAATGATAAGCTTACCGAAAGATTGCAGTGTAAGGTTACTGCAATATTGGACAGTAAGATTATCGCAAGATTGCTCAGTAAGCTTGTACGGTAAGCTTGTCGCAAGTTTGGTGCAAGGTTGACAAATAACCTTGCCCAATCAGTAGAGAAGTTTGCATTGAAAATGAGTACTATGCGCACATGCAATCATATGCACATACGGCTGCGCAATAAATTTTTTTGACCTCCCAAGAACTGGTGCTCACTGTATGTACAAAAATAAATTTCCTCCCCCCCCCAAAATTTTTTTGTTATATTCCGCAAACTTGCGTCAAGCTTGCCATAAGGTTGCCGAGCAAACTTGCATGGCAAGTTTGATACAACCTTCTGTACTGTTTGGCAAGGTTATTTGGCAACCTTGCACCAACCTTGCGGCAAGCTTACTGAGCAATCTTGCAGTAACCTTACACTGCAATCTTTCGGCAAGCTTACCATGCAAGCTTGGGTTAGGTGGGACATTTGAAGCTTGCGGCAAACTTGCCATGCAAGGTTGGCAATGTTGCGCGGCAAGCTTTCCGCAAGGTTGATGCAAGCTTACGTGCTATCTGGGTAAGAGAATGGAGGTCCTAACATAACCTCAAAAATGAAAAATTTCTTTGTAAATGTTGATTTGTCTCTAAACGTAATATATTCAAACGTATTACGTAAACGTTAACGTATTCAATATATATATATATATATATATACTAGAGGGGCTACGCCCCCCTGTTTTAGTCATTTTTTTTTAATTTTCCATTGATCTTATTTTTCCAAATGAACCACCTATTTCAAAGAAATATTATTACAAATTCATTGAAATCTGAATAAATATTATTAAAATTAAAATTATTAAATTTTAATTAATAAATTAATAATAAATAAATAATTAAATAAATTAAAATCGACATTAAGAAATGTTTTTTTTAAAACAAACATAACCTCAAAATTTAGGTCATTTTTGGCGGAGGAGGGGAAATGAGAGGAGGGAGGGGGGACTTGCGGCTATATTCAGAGCTTTGAAACGAACATAACCTCAAAATTTAGGTCATTTCAGGCGGGGGAGGGGAAGGGACTTGCGGCTATATTCAGAGTCTTGAAACGAACATAACCTTAAAATTTAGGCCATTTTGGAGGAGGAGGGGGGACTTGCGGCTATATTCAGAGCCTTGAAACGAACATAACCTCAAAATTTAGGAGGGGGGACTCCCCCCCCCTCCTAGGTCAAGTATTCTTGAAACAGCGGCGGCGATATCTTTTTCTTATGTAGGAAGATATATATATATATATATAAAATTGACAGGAAATCAAATTTCACGATTGGATTACAAATATTTCTTGGAGATAAGCCCTGAGAAAAAGAGGACAGTTCGTACTTACATCTATATTGCTCAATTATAATTTAATATCTTGCTTATTGACAATTTAATTAATAATTAAATTAATAATAATTAATAATATAATTAATTAATTATTGTAAATTTCTAAATTAATATGCCTACAAATTTTTTTCCAAAAAATTATTATTGATCAAAAAACTTTGCAAAAAAACTAGTTGGATAAATAAATAAATAATTTGCATAGAAAAATATTTTCTGTTCTAAATCGTTGATCATAAACGTTGTGAACTTCACCGACGTTACAACTTAAAAAAATATAGGTACAGAAAATAATTTATTTATC